CCAATTCAGATCTCAACTGATTTCTCAGCCCAGATCCTCAAAGCTACGAGGTTCTGGAATAATATATTCAAGTTCTGAAAGAAAATGGATGCCAAACAAGAATTTTATATCCAGCAAAATTGTTTCAGATTTGAAAATGAAATTAAAACATTCCATGATAAATAAAGATTAAAAGAATTCATAACTAGAAAGCCTACGCTACAGAGCATTCTCCAAAAATATTCCATGAGGATAACGTGATAAAAAAAGTGAAAACCAGCAAAGGGAGGATCTACACTAAAGGGACATTCAACCAAATGGGAAACTAAGACAAAAAAACAGAAATAAATCAAAATAATACAGAATACAAATCATATCTCAATTATAACCTTGAATGTTAATGGCCTAAATTCATCAATCAAAAGACATAGACTGGCAGAGTGGATTAAAAAGCAAGACCCAACAATATGCTGTCTTCAAGAGACTCACCTGTGGGCAAAGACATCCACAGGCTGAAAGTGAAAGGGTGGGAAAACACTTATCACTCATATGGATTGTGTAAACAAGCAGGGTCTCCATCCTTACCTCAGATAAAGTAGACTTCAAACCGAAGTTGGTCAGAAGAGACAATCTGTGCTTCTGAACCACACGTGCCAGCATGCTGCTGTAGCCTTCTGGGGAGTCCAGAGCAGCGCCCACATGCGCTCCCATCACCCACTGTGCCTGCCAGGCCCTGTCTGGTTAGGTCCCAGCTGGGCTGGGGACCTGTGGTCTCCAGCCTCCATACTGACTTATGAGGGAACATACCACATGGAAGGAGTCGGTAGGAGATGCCCAGGATTCTGGCTAGAACTACAGGATGTGCTCTCTTTTCCAGGATCCTTAGCTGCAAGAGTGCAGCTAGAAACTGCTGGTGGCTGTGGCTGCCACCCTGCAAAGAGCCATCTAAGAATGACACCAATAGATGGGAGAGGAGAAGTGCAAGCAGAATTCCATGCTGTCACGTAAGCCTCTGGATCACTGTCACGACGTGAGCTGGCAAGTTCCCTGTTTTCATTCAGCCAGTTTCATTTGGGTTTCTGTGGCTTATGACAACAGAGGTCCTAACTACCATAGAAAAGCTCAAAAACAAATTAAATGTGCATTAATAGGGGAGGGCTAGTCAAGATACAGTGCAACCTGTACTGCCTGGGTCACCAGGAGAGGCAGGGTCACTGTACCACCATAGACAAGTCCTCCAGCATGTAACTGAGGGCCAATAAGTGGACGTAAAAGATGTGTAAAGAGTGTACGTATTGGTACTCTAAATCCCTGTGTGCACACCTGCGGGAGAACACAGAGGACTTAGGGATTCATGCCAAGAGCTCTCAAGGGTTATCAGCAGGAAGAGGAAGGCTGAGGAGCACGGATGTGTGTCCAACACTTCCTCTGCATTTCCCTTGGCTTTTCTAATTTTATTAAATGAGCAGACATTTAGGTACTGCTCGTGTAAGTCTAAAGAGTAAGATGGGGAAGATCCTGTTCTCTGGCTTTGAGTTTGGTCCTCATCACTTCTCATTCCCACCACCTAGAATCCACACTCTGTTCTCTCATTTGTCTCCTAGTTTGGCTGAGGCTACCTCTCACCTGGCTCTGTAACTGCTGAGCACCTCCTGGCTGGGGCTTCCTCCTCTGCCCGCCACTGGCCCAGATCCGTGCAGTCACAGTGGTACCCACTCTACCTCTTGAGCCCCATATGACACTGTCCCCTTCTCCTCCTGCCTCAGCCACCTCAGTTCAAGTCCCATCGGGAGGTGCTTGGACTTGGCAATACTTCCTACCAGTCCCAGCCTCGGCCTTTCCCTCACCTCCACAAAGAGACATTTCTAAATGCCACCAGTCCTACTGCCCCTGTTCCTGTGTTGCAGGGCTCATCATTCCACCTGCATCCTCTCCTCACCCTACCCCTCCCCAGGTTTTCATGCTGACCCAACATCTCACGGCTCCTCAAACACACCAAACTCCATGCCTTCCACAGGCCACTTCCTCAGGGGAACTCTCTCTTCCCGCCTTCAAGGCCCCAAGTGACAGCCTGGCTCCCAGTTCTCCCTGGTTGGACCAGTTCCACTTCCAAGTGCTCCCTGGACGCTCCTCAGCCCCACCTCCCCCAACACACTTCACTGCAAGGATCTTTTGCCTGTCACTCCCCCCTGCCCCACTGTGTCGACACCTGGGCCGCATACTACTCTGTCCCCACGGCCTCTGGTTCCAGAACTCACCATTTCCCACATTCCCCAGCTCTAGCCCACTCAGGAGAGAGGGCAAGCTTCATCTTCCAGACCTCAGAGGGTCAGGGATGCAAGATGACCTGGTCCTCTAGACCCACTTGTGCCCTTCCCTGGCTGCTGTTTTGAGCCCACCCTGCAGATCAGCCCTGGGGTCACTTCTCTCCCCTGTTTTCCTGTGAAGCCTGATAGATTCACGGCACCTGACTGTAGTAAGGAGCCTGTACTTGGGCACCTGCTTTCCTCAGAGTGCACTAGAGGCCACCCCAACATGTCTTCCTGATCTCGCAGCCCTCTGTGGGGGTGGGGTCTACAGCTAACATCAGCTTTATTGTGGCGGGCAGGGCTTGCAGGTGGAGGGACAGCTGTGATGGTCAGGGGAGAGGACAGTCACACAGGGTTCTGGTGAGTGGACTGGACCAGCGAAGCCTCATATCTTGCAGAGAGAAACCCTGAGAGCAGGGCAGCCTCTGGACCAGCCCTGGAGGCTTCTGGACCACCTCTAGGACTCACTGAAGGGGGCTTCTCAACAGGCATGGTGAACTGAGAGGGCATCACTGTGCCCACCTCACAAGGGCACTTCCTGGCTCCTCGCCGCTCTGCCGTCTCTGTCACCTCACAAACACTGTCTGTTTCCCTAACTGTCTTCATGCTGGATTTCTGTTGCCACTCTCTGGAGATGAGCGGGGAGCAGGCTTCTGGGCGAGGTGGGCACATCCTGGCCCAGGCTCCACTGTCTGTCTGTCTCCGGGCTTGTCTCTTTGTGTTCCTTTCCCTTTTTCTTTTAGACAGAGCCATTATCCCAGCCTAAAAGCAGATTATTCAAATAACATGCTAAGGCTACCTCAGTCAGAGGAAATAAGAAGCCACTACTTGGGTTCCTTCTGAGAGTAGATTAGTATTTTAATTGGTGCTTCAAAAAGATTCTGGCAAAGTCAAAGTCAACGCCCAGAACAACTAGGATTTTGTGGCTTTCGTTTGGACCACGCCCTGTGGGGCCTACCTCCTCATCCTGCATAGGACAGGGCTAAGTGTCCTCATGGATGCTAAGGATGAGCTAGGCACACGCCTTTCTGTACCCTTCACAAGCCTTTTCAACCTGACACCAGCCCCCAGCCACTTCTCCAGCAGGGACATGCTGGCCCTCGGCTGACCAGCAGGCAGCTGGGTGGGGAAAGCCTGCCTCAGCCCAGCCAGCAAAAGCCCCTGCTCCTGCCATAGCTGGGGAGTCACCTGGAGCCACCTCCTGCACAGCGTGGTGTGGATGGACAGGCCCCTGGCCGCACACCCACACCACGAGCACCTGTCCTTGGCTACTTACAGTGACTTTGGCGTCCTGCCCTGCACTGTTCTCCGCTTTAAAACCTCCCTCTTGGCTACAGGAATGGACCCTCCCAATACCAGTGAGACTGTGTCATGCTCCATTGACAGTAAACCGAGGTTCAGAAGGAGGGCACATCTCACCCTGGTGAAATGTCAATCGCTGGAGTTGGCCCTGAACTGCTTCCAGCACCCTTCACATCTGATGCTGCGATCTTGGCACTGCAAGCAGTAAAATCACATATAGTAACCTCTCAAGAGTGTAAGAGATCCCAGGGAATGATGTCTCACCCACTGTGTAAGATAGGGGACTTTGTACTAATGACAAATAGGAGAACATAGAAGAAGCCTGGGTCTGAACAGTCACAACAGGGACATAAACTGACCAGAACCAAGACAGTTCATATGAACAGGAAGCAATGCCTGAGGCCCTGGCAGGCCAAGGCCTGGGTCTGGAAGGAAGTGTGGAAACTGGGGCCCAGGAGAGAGGTCACGAGCAAGGACATGGGAACCTGAAAACAGCACTCAGCCAGCGCCACCAGAGAACCTTCACAGCCACCAAGGAGCTGAGGATGGCCACCTGCCCCTGCCCCCAGGAGCTGAGGACAGCCACCTGGGGCTGCTCTCACATCACAGCAGTGTTCCTGTTTTTGTTACTTAAGAGAAGCAAAGAAGACAGGTGGAATGAAGAGAAAACAAGGATTAACAGAGTTGATTCACAAAGACGCCGGGGAAAGACTCCTGGGATCTGAAACAGTCAACCAACAGGATGAGGAGCCAATGTCAGTCCCTGTGGAAGCCCATGGCTGCCACGTTACACAGAGCACACACATGACAGAAGTGTTGGCAGGGTCCGTCTCCCAGGAGCTATTCCCACGCCTGCCCTGCTGTTCAGGGAGGGGCTTGTCACTGGTCAGACTACACTAGGGCTTGGAGGGGCGCCCACAAACCAGGGGCCTCTTCCTTCCTGTGGAGACACTGGCACCAGCTCACAGCTTTGCCTGGTGTCCCAGAAGCATTGCTCCCTGCACCTTGGAATTCACAGGAGGTGAACCCTCGACCAGAGGCAAACAGGTGGCCAAAACATCCCAAGGGACCCATTGTGGGACACCAGGTCTCCAGCTGGACCTCAAGGGGCAAAGTTAAAGAATCATATTTAATTTAATTCAGAGCATTTGAGATCCAGGGACGCTCTGCCATGAGATTGCTAATGGACACAACGGTCATGAAAATCCACGCCACACTGATTCATTTCAACCAGTGACTCTCAGCAAGCCACCTGGCATGCTGACACTCTACGAGAATTTCCCCTACGTGGCAGCAGAGTGTAACACAACAATTCCATTCCCCTCTATAAACCGCCTACAAAGAAAATGTTGGCTATTTGGTGGGAAACGCCCTTCCCAAGGTCAAGAACACCACCCTCCATTCACTTGCCTTGCTGAACACAATGGACACCATGAAGAAGTCCAGCAGGAAGCTCTCCGAAATATCTTTGTAGTCGAAGTGGAAAAAGATGACGGTGAAGCTCAGGTGCAGGAACTGGTGAACCGGGTTGCAGAAGGACGTGCGTAGCAGCTTCATGCCCGCGACGATCATCAGGAAAATGTCCCAGCTGTGGGAAAGGAGGGGGACCCAGGGTCAGCCACAGCCCAGGATGCCAGGTGCCTCCCCAGGGTTGCTCCTCCCACCAGGGACGGAAGGACTCCCTGGGCATGAGCACCTGGCCAAGGACTTATGGGGTTGAGCCAGGGTGGAAGCCGCCCTGAGTGACCCCTTGCAAATTGTCTCTGCCACTTGGCCTCCCCTGCCCACCTGAGGCCATCTCCTAAGTCCTTGCATTCTTCTGAAAGAAGAATGAAGAGCTCCTCTGAGGCTTCTCTGAAGGAGCGACTGCAGGGCTGAGGGGGGTCCCAGGCACAGCTGGTGCCCAGGGAGGAGGCAGCCTGGACTAGTGCCTCTCAGTTGCGTCTCACAATCAGAGGAAATTACTGAAACCATGGCCCCGCATGGGCAGCGTGAGGTTCTGAGTGGAAAAGGACCCAGTGTCATGGGAAGGCCACCCTACACCTACAGGCAGCTCCAGGGTGGTCTAGACTATCTACCACCCTGGAGATTGTAAGCTTTCTGCTCTCCTCACACCCCCACCTTTTTTTCTTAAAATTGCATTCCTACCACTTGTCCCAGGAACAGGGCTGATCATCCGAGGAGCTCAGCAAACAGAGGCAGGTGGAGAAGTTCCCTTCCAAGTCTTGGCTTTGAGGACTCAACTCTTGGACGCCCTCTTGCCCAGTGAACCAGATTTATTAGTGGGGTTGGGCTGTGTGTGCAGTGTGCGCGACCCTCCCCCAACCCCCAGAGGGTAGAGCAAAAACAAAGAACTAGCCGGAAACTGGAAGGGGGGGGAATGGGAACATACAGCCTCCCCAAGGGAGGCTGGGCCTCTTAGCCATCTTCCTACCAATAGTAACAAGCCCTGTGGGAACTTGAGCACAGAGTGGGATAGTGGCAGAGAATGGTTACACCTGAGAGAGAATGTTCCCACTCTGGCTAAGTACAAGGCACAGGGGCCAGGCTTCATCCCCTAAGCCCAGCTGAGTCTGGGACCCAGGACCTTAGCAGACATGACCATCTTCACCAGAGGAGGTCATTCAGGAAATGCTTCCCAGTGGTAAGCATGATTGACATCAATTAATTGAATACTTCAAAATAGCTAGTAGAGAGGAATTTGAATGTTCCCAGTGCAAAAAAATGATAAATGTCAGAGGTGATAGATATTCCAGTTACCCTGATCTGATCATTACATATGATACGCATGTTTGGAATATCACACTGTACCCCATAATAAGTACAGTTATTATGTGTCAACTAAAAATAAAAATATATTTTTACAAAGGTGGCTTTTGAAAAGTTTCTTTTTTTATCATCAAAAAGACCTGATGTTGGCAATTCCGTATGTCTCAATCTAATCTTTTGTCCGCTTTCAGAGCTTGGGCCGTGACTGAGGCTGCTTCTGCTCTACCCCAGGATGCACAAGGTTGACAGACTAGTTTAGGCTTCTGAGAAAAACTAGCCCTGGTTCCAAGTGGGTTTGTGGAGAGTGGCAAGGTTTTCTGTGTCCTTGCCACAGCCTCACGTCCTGCAGAAGGGGTGCCCCACCACCTGTCCTCCTCTCCCAGAGGACTCCTGATGCCACGGTGACAGCATAGAAAACATGGCGTGGCTCCAGTCACCTTGACAGCAGCACCCAGCACAGAAATACTGTGGGACAGCAGAGCCCTCCAAGGGCCCAGGGCTAAGGTAGCTCAGGACTATGGGTATTTTGGGTTTCAAGGGAGATCAGTGATTTTCTGGGTTATTTAGGCAAAATATAAATGAGGGACAAATCTAACTCTCTGTTTTCTGTGACCATAGTTTGGTGGAGAATTCATTTAACATTTACTAGTGATGATTGGTTATAATTCTGGGAGATTCAGGACTGAGCTTTGGGGCTTTTACAGTGTTGATAGCAATGGCACCGTTACTGGCACCGAGGTCATTGCATGCTTAGGTGAGGTTTTATAGTCAGCATCAGTGAACACTGGCTGGGCCCAGGTGTGGAGCACCAGAGACCAGGCTGCGAAGGGAAATGTCTGGTGAGATCTCACGGTTCACTCACCCCCCACGGTCCATCCACCCTCCTCTCTAACGTGCCCTGGGGGTTGGCATTGCTGTTGAAGGATTCACTACTGACTAGGGCAGTGGTTCTCAAACAGGCAGGGGAGGCAGGAACTAAAGACTTTGAAAGAGGCCTCACACTGTCCTGGGAGCGGCTGGTCTGACAGGAAGCCTGAAATCTTCTTTCTTTCATTCTGGATGTATCAGGAACAGAAAAAAATCATCAGCTTCAGGTTCAGATGGCATCCTCTGGGATCTGAGACTATTCAGAGGAATACCGGTAAGGGACCTCCCTCTGACTTCAGTGTTTGGGAAAACCTGACTGGGCACAGAGAGCAACCTGACCGTAGGCTGCACCCTCAGCTGTTTATGTGACCCGTGAAGTCCCAGCCTTCACACCTGCCTTCTCTATGGCTTGGCCTGCACCTACAGGCCAGCACAAGGTCCCTGTCCTGAAGTGGAACGGGAAAAGCCTCCATCCTTGACAGCACTGCCCAGGGTAGCACAGTCCCTGCTTTGTTAGCCTGGCTTTGACTGTGCCCAAGATCTGCCTTGTTCTGGGAAGTGGTCACGGGGTCATCCTGGACTGTGCCCACTGGGAGTCCTTGCCACTAGCAGATGCACATGGTGCTCCAGAGGGGAGCTGCTTCCTGTAGGGGAGCTGCTTCCCTGACTCAACTGGGTTGCAGGTCTGGGGTCTATTGTCTGCTGTCTCAGCCAGTGTAAGTTTCATCCTGGGATCTGCCATTGAGGATTTTAAGTACCAAGGGACACAGAATTCTTGCCCGGGTCTAATAAAAACAGGTCTGGAATGGAAGGAAGTCAGAGTCCAATGAAGACAGAAAGGCCGTGGGATAGACCAGTTAGCGTCTGCTTTGTATGACCCTGAGGCCACTCCAAGTCCAGAGGGTCTCAGCGTGTCTTTCAGCCAGCTCATGTTTGGCAGATATTAATGAACATGCTCCTGTCACACACGAGATGGAAAATAGGTCTGGATCAGTGTGCCTGGGACTATGCGTCAGCATTGACCTTGACACACAGCACTGGAGCAGCGTGACTGAGGGGACCTGGGGAAGGACCACTCTCATCCTTCTACTCTAATAATGTATTTGACCAGCAACTCTCATTTTGTCAGAATGACAAATCTGCAAATCATTGAGTAGATTTCCATTTGTAAATTCAGAATTAATTTTAATAGGTGAAACCAAAGACTCCACTCTCCACTGTTAATGATTTGCAGAAATATGGGCATCGCGACAGTGTGAAGTCTCCTGCTCCACAGTTTTAAATTGTGATCCTTCTCTTGATAAATGCAGAGAGCAGTGACAGTGATTAATTTCCCTCCCCCACACCACATGAGAGAATATCTGCTAAGTAGAGTGACAGGAAGCAGTCAGGGAGCTCCAGGCAGGGTGCTAGAAACTCCAGGAACCCCGGACTCCCACTGGCTTCCTCATCTTATTAGCCTCGCTGGCTAAGCTTTGCAGGATGGTTTCAAATCCACTGACACTTGCTCAAAACATCACTGCAAGCAGATCTAACTTCATTTGCACCCCAGGCACTCCACAGTGACGGTCTACACTGTAGGTTTGAGTAAAAGACCACCAGGGCTTTTTAATGCATAAAGTCACAGGTATGTACAAGTTGGTTTCTTCTGCAGCCTGCTGAGGGAAAACTCACTAGGTTCTGAAAACATGTGACCCAAATTGGTATGAGAATAAACCATTTTCCACTTACTGGGTACCAAGTCTCCGGTAATTGCTTATTGAAAATGCATCGATAGTGAGGGCATTCAGAATTATTGCTGGGTACAAGATATATTTTTCAAAACACTGAAGCCAAACATAGAGTCTTTCAAACCACATTAAATGGGCGACATCTGAAAGAAATACAAAAATCACTTAGAACAGTCTCTGATCAAAGTGCTTACGCATAAGTACAGAGAGCACAAGAGACACCCCTTCCGCTCAGGCTGCTGACTGGTGAGGGCACGTCCACCTCCCCTCCAGGCAGCCTCTCTCAGCTTTGCTTCCGTGAAGCTCCTGGGTGACAAGGCACAGGTTGGCCCCCAGTCTGCAAAGCGAGGACCAACCAAGTGACCTGCCAGGCATCGAGTCTGCAGCCGAGCAAGGCTGGGGGCACAGCTTGCACAGCTCAAAAGCTTCCCCTTTCATGCCTGGGAAGACTGCTGGGGCTGGGCAGCTTCTGGGATATTCTCTCTCTCTCTCTCTCTCTCTCTCTCTCTCTCTCTCTCTCTCTGTCGCGCGCGCGCGCGCGTTAGTCCTTAAATCCCTATCAAATCCTTGGGCAATGTACACAAATAAGAGAAAGCCAGTCCCCAAGTCCCTGGCACCGGGACCTGCTGCATTTCCCCAAGGCTTCCTGACATCCTTCCTGAGGGCTGAGGCTTTAAGTCAGGCCCACCCAGGTCACCAGGACCAGCAGGCCCACCCACCATCTCTACCAACCCCTAGCATGTGACCTCAGACTGTTCCTTTGTGTTCCTGAGCCTCGGCTTTCTGTGTCCTACGGGTACCTTTAGAGGGCTGCTGGGGAAGGAGTCCCGCTCCCTGCTCCCTGGTAGGTGCTGGGGTGGGATCCACATGAGCAGCACCTCTTGCAGTCCTCACTTGCTGCTCTCTCTGGGGAGGAGCAACACTGGTCCCACAGGTCAGAGCAGACTTCTAGGGTCACATTATCAGGCGAGAGGGACACTTCCTCCCAGCCTCCAAGGCCAGGGCCAGGGCTGCTTCCACTACAGCAGTGCAGGCCCAGGGCCCTATGGTGGCTGTCCCTCCCTGTCACACGCTCCTCATCTCCTAGAAACCAGGAAGCTGCCCCTGTCCCACCCACCAACACAGAGCACAGGAGCCTTCTGGAGGCTCCACCTTCTCCTCGGCAGCTCAGAGTCTGAATCGGCCAAGGGGACAGAGACTCCATCACAGCCCTGGAGTCACATTCTCAGTGGCTAAGGTGAACATTGTACCTAGGTAATGCACAGTAGAGAGAGGTCCTTGGTGGTGGGGAGAAGGCACACAGTTTGCACCCTGTGGGGTTGCACAAGAATGACTCATGAAGGAGAAACGCACTCTCCCAGAGCAGCTGTCCCCTGGGGTCCTTACCCAGATCAGAGGATAAGTCACCTAGTTCCAGGCAACAACACCAGGATTGCGTGTAAAGAACCTCAGGAAGCGGTGGACACAGGGCGTCCACTCTCCTCGCCGAAGCTTGTTTTCTACATTAGAGGGTGTTGTCTTTAACTCAAAAACTACCTTTGTGGATAAAAATATGAAGAGAAGTTTGGTTCCAGAAATCCCACTTGACAGAACCGGCTGGGATGGGACAGGAACGGGGAGACAGGGCAGAGAGGGTGGCATGGGAAGTAGAGGAAGAGAATAGGCAGAGAAGGAGAGGCGACACCTGAGGGGTGGCAGAGAGGAGAAAGTCCGGTGACCCATGAAGGGGGCACAGGGGGAGGAGAGTTAAGCTTGGGGTAAGGACGCTGGGTCAGAATTCAGCTCTGGGCTTTCTTAATGGATGATGTTTCCTGGGGACAGATTTGGAGATGTGTTATTCCACAATGAATGAATTTTGATACATAATGAAGTTAAGGTCACACATTTTACATACGGATTAAAGTTTTTTAGTCTTTTGTGAAAGTATATGGAAAGTAAGAAAAACAAACATTCAAGACCTCTCCCCCTTTATCCCAGCACACAACTGTGACCCCTTCTTCCTAGAGAAAATGGCCTCTATGAGCTGCAGACTGGCGTCCCCACCACCCAGGGAAAAAATGCACCTGCAGACCCACCCGTCTGCTCCTCTCCAGGCTGAGCCTCAGTGCCACGCTGGATCCCAAGCTCCTGGCTTGTGCTGGGCAGTCAGTCCCATGCCCCAGTGGCCCTTCCCAGTCCTCCCCACTGGGAGCACTCTGCACATCCTCTAAGAGCTCGATGCCCTCTCTGCACAGCCAAGCTCCCCGAAAAGCTTGTCACTATCTGACCCTCCCACGTCCACATCTCCTGCTTCCTGCAAAAACTTCTGCCCTATACCTTCGCAGCCACACCTGCTCAGAACTGCACATGCCAAGGTGCCCAGGCCTCCTGGCCACCCTGGACACTGGCCACCAGACGCCTGCCTGGTCGCTCTACCGTGAGCCATACCCATCTCTCCAGTCATTTCCAAGCACTCCTCTACTGTTCACGCGTGGCCAGCTGCTGGCCATAGCAGCTCCTTGAGAAGCATGCGGGCAGCCTATTCCTCCGCAGGGCTCTGTCGGGAACACCCTCTCACACGTTTCCAGGGCCCCCTCAATGTGCGGGTCCCTGCTCGAGGGCACATCCTCTGTGGGACTCTGACTACCCTATGAAACCGCCTCCTCTCGTCACCATTTCTTCACCCCAACTTACTTTTCTTCATACGCCATATCCCTGCCTGACACTTGTTGACTGATGGAGTTTGCTTGCTCTCTCCCTCCCCTGAAGCCTCAGCTCCATGAGGGAGGGACTCCATCCCTGGCTCTAGGCCAGGAGACCACCCCCCCGCCCTGAGCCACGGCTCCTCCATAACCTCAGCCCAGCTCTGTGCCATTGTTAGCTGTGCTTACTGTCCTGCTGGGTCCTTTGCCCGTGACATCCGTCTTCGGAGTTGTAATTCATTCTTTCTTCTGGTGTAGGAATCTATGGAGGTGAATTTCCAGGTTGGCTTTTCTAACTTCTGCCAACAGGCACATGGTTAGGATCTATTGTTCACTATGAGAAGCGTGCCTGGGAGCATCCTCCTATGTCGTGGAGAACCTGCCTGCTCACTTCTGCACCGCACACCTTGGGTGGGGAACTGCGAGGTCACTGGGTACAGGCTTCCATAGCTAATACTGACTAATTTCCCAGAGTCACCGTGCCAGTCTGCACTCTCACAAGCAGTTCTTTGGCTTGTCCCACGTCCCTGCCAAACACTCTGCAGTGCTGCCTGTGAATGCGATGTGGTCTCACTTCATGTCCCCAACCACTGGGTGGGGACCTTCAGGTCTTCAGTGAGCTCCTGACCACTGTGACACACATGTCTGAGTGCTAGTTCTCCATGGTTGGCTGCCTGGCTCTTTCTCCCAACAGCTGATGAGCCTCTTCCTGAGTCTTAGGAATTCTTGATACATCTGTGTACAGGTCCTTGGTCAGCGCACACAGGGAGCACGCACTCATGACCTGTTTCACGCTTAACAGCCCCTCAGAGAAAGGAGCCCATGACACGAACACATCCACCCTCTCTTCTCTCTCCCAGGGTCTGCTGTCATTTGTAGGAAAACTCATGACCTGCTCCCTGCTGTCCTCTAAGGCCTTTGGTCTGCCTTCCAGGTTTAGATCTGTGAACTCTCTAGAACTGACTCCCGTGTAATATGAAATGAGCATCAAGATCTGTGCTTCCTGTGTCGGTCCTTTGGGTGGCCGCCACTCACTTCCATGGGCACAGCCTGAGTACAATGCCTCAATGTCTCCGTGTGGCCAGGTGCTCTGGAAAGCCCCTCAGACTCTCCTGCTGGAGAAGCTCCTGGACTGTGCCGTCTGGAGATCTCAGGACTGGCCCTTGCTCCCAGGATGGCATCACCAGAGGTGCAGGCCAGGGCATCCCGACTGTCTTCTCCAGAGGGAGCAGGACTCAGTGCTGACCTATTAGAGCTGTCACTCACAGGGATAGCGAGAGGGGAAACTTTCAACTGTGTTTAAATCCTTTGTAATCAATGCACCCTCCATCTGTCTGCTCCCAGGTGGACCCCGCCCCCTCCCCACCTTGGCACTCTACCACACTGCTGTGGACCCAGCCCCACCAGGCACCTGCAGACACCTGGCGCTTCTGTGTATAGTGCTCCTAGCACCAGGGGAAGCTTGCAGCTCTCTGAGCCGTCACTGTGGTGGCAAGGTCCACAGTTCAGCACTGTCACAGCAGTGAGGACACTCACCCCCAGCAGACTGTGCCTTACGTGGCCTAGTACCTCAGTACCTAGTAGGTGCCTGCGCTGGGCTGGGGTTCACTGAATGTTACCTGTTGTCAGTGTTTGGGGGAAACTCTGGATATTTAACAGATTTACTTAAATATGGATATTTAAAGATGAATGAAAAAAAAAAACAAGAAAACCAAGAGACAGAAAGCAGTCCTTGGAATTGATTTTGGATTACAGAACAAGCAATTCTCTAACTACATCATATCAGGCATTTCCTATTTTAACCTTTCTAAAGGTTCCCTCAACTACAGTTAGGTTTCTTTCTATACAACATTACTTTTTTTCTGATTTCCAATCTGTAACAGATGGACAGTGTCAGACTGAGGCCAGCACCTCTGAGCCAATCCAGCCTGCTTGTAAAATCCATTTACAGAAGCCCATCAGCTTATGTCACCAATTCAGAAAACCTGGGTGAGATTCCTGCAAAAAAAAAAAAAAAGTAAAAAAGATAAACATAACTGACCCTTATCCGCAGTGCTACTAGGAAAACGTCTGCATTAAAGACAACGTTTAAGAGGCTCATTGCTGAAGAGCAATGGGACTGTCTGTCTGGGGGTGTCTCAGCTCTTCCAGAACTTGTCACATTTACTTTCAAAAAAATGACCTTTTCCAGTGGGTGGGGATAGTCCCATGCAGCCTACGAGGACTCACTGCAGAGCATGGCAACAAAATCAGGTTTTCATAAAACTCCACCCATTCCAGAGACAGCAATGGAGTCTGATCAAGTAGAAGCTCGGCGGGATTCAGCACCCAGGCCTGGCGGGGTGTCTGAGACTGAGGTTCCTACTCGGTGAGCCCTTGGCCTGAGCCACCTGGGAGTATGAGGAAGGGGAGAGCCCCTCGGCTCTACCTTGTGGTGTGAGAGTGAGGCCTGCAGGCTGCAG